TATTGACTGATGCTAAATCAGGTAAATCTATCAATGAAGATGATATTCCACCACAATTACCACCATCTGCAGTTGGAGAATCAACAGAAAAAGTAGTAGAAAGTTCTAAACCAGATTCAACAGGTAATATTTAAAAGTACAATAATAACAATATTTTACGAAGCTTGTTCTATGTACGTAATTGAGATGTATTATATGCATATTTTTCAGAAGAGAAAAGTTCTCCAATTAATGATGATACAACACCACCCCCAGAAACTAATACTGCCATAGAATCTGTTCCAGAAAAATCTATAGATGAAACAGCTTTGAATTTACTAAAAAGTAGGCAACAAGAATATAAAATAGCAGCATTAGCATGGAAGAAAGCTGGTAATAAAACGGAAGCACTTCAATGTGTAACTGTAGCGAAGCAGTTTGATATAGTCATAGCAGCAGTAAATGCAGGAGACTCAGTTGATTTGTCGGACATGCCACCATCTCCAAATATGCCCGGGTTAAATGCTGCTACAGCTACACCAGAATTGTCAAAAGTTGAAAATGAAACACAGGGAGAGGCCTCCTCGGAAACAGCACCTGCAGGTAAGTCATACATGATTTAAGCATTTCTCCTATTTTATATACTAATTTCTTTTGTTGATATTGTTATAAAGTTAAACATATTAATTAAATGTTTTGGAAACGGCAGAAACAAAGCCAGCAGGTCCAGAGAATTTAGAATCCGCTCTAAGGGAGAGACTTGAAGTGTATAGAAGATCAAAAACAGCTGCAGAAACAGAAGGAAATTCTTCTAAAGCTCGAAGATACGGTCGTATATGCAAACAGTTTGAAGATGCTCTTAAGTTGTATGCTCGCGGAAAACCTGTACCCCTAGATGAACTGCCAGTTCCACATGGTTTTCCACCACTTGTGACACCTGCACCAGAAGAGGAGAAATCAGAAGTGCAACCAACACCGTCTATGCAAAAGACCTCAGACCCAGAGCCATCTGAAAATACACAGGGATCAAAGAGACCTTCAGTTTCTCCAAGAAATCAAATAGGTATGTAATAAAATTTATCATTCAACTATCCGTTTACTAATGATGTACTTCCTTTAATTATTAGGGAAAAAAACAAATCAAAAGATGACACGTGCAGATAAACAAACAGCTTTATTGCAACAGCGTCAGCATGAGTTGAAGCAAGCCGCTTTCAATGCAAAGAAGGAGGGAGATCTAGAATTGGCACGTAATTATTTAAGACAGGCAAAGGGAATAGATCCACTGATCGAAGCGAGTACAGCAGGGTTACCAGTTGATATGAATACTATACCATTGTCACCGTTAGCAAAAATGGAACTCAATGCAGATAGTTCAATAGGGCAACTTGATGAAAGTTTTGAGTTAGTTAGTAGCGAACATTGTCTGGAAGAAGCAACAGGAACTGATGAAGAAATTTATGAGAATCTAGAGGCACAGCTAGTGAAACAGATGAAGGTATAATAGAAACGTATATATTTTAAAGTGAAACTAAAGTAACTATTTCTATAATTCGTTATAGTGGTGCTTATGTACTAGAGATCATTCCAAAGCATTAGGAGATGTACCTGGGTATAATAAGTGGGAACGATTCGCATTAGATTATAAACGAGATTTGGATATGTTGAGGGTTCGGAAGCGTGATGGATTACCGTCACCACAGCATCATTACGAAACAAAAACTTATGCTATAGTGCAGTCAGTACTACATGATTTTATAATAAAAACGAAAATAGTGTGTAAAAATCATTGCAGTCGTTATGTTTCAGGAGTTGTACGGATTTAAACAACAATGATGTAGAAATCTCAATAATACGAGGGATAAATTATTCAAAAGAGGATACATACGTCATATATGAATTTCCTTATCCAACCGATAATCCTCCAACAGACAGAACATCTACTATTAGAGGAACGTGCAACCCAGAATATGAAGCAGTATTTCGCCTGAACGGAATAATAGATCGTGGCGTACGACAGTGTCAACGAGCTTTTAAAAGACATGCGCTGAAATGTCAAGTTTGGACAAAAGGGTAATTACAAACAGTAATGGGTATAACCATCTACAGTTTTTTATAATTTTATTTGATATTTTCGTAACATTATCATGTTATTAGTGTTTTCGTGTATTTATTTATGAGCTTTAGTTTTTAATAACACATTCTTCATGAAATTGACATATTTTAATTATACATTACTCACATATTTTATTTTATTTTATAAAGTATTATAAGTATCGATGAATGAATATGGTATCGCCAATATTGAATAGATATGATCCGAAAATTTAATAACAAAGATAGTAAATAGATTAGTACGTTGCTTGCAGATGCTCGCTGAATCCTCTCCTGTGTTGCACTAATCCAAGGTATGAAAATCATAGTTCTAAAGAGCATTCAGCTTTTTCATTATATGCCTAAAAATGTGCTATTATGTTTGTTCTTTGAGAGTCATTGGTTATTGGATCTTATGTTTTTGTTTATTTTCTTTTTTATCAGCTATTGTATTATCAAAATAGTAGTTAAATGTTGGTCTCTATACATGGCAATAAGAAAACTGTCGAATTTATTATAATGCTTTATGCGTATTGTAGCTTGATTGATAGATACTCAACGATATCACGTTTGTAAATTGCACGAGCAAGCTGTGACAACGTATACCTTCCTTCATTTCGTTTCAGCATAATATATATGTATTTATTTAATATTACGAATAATTGTGTGTTTTTACAGTGGATTCTTTCGAAGTGATAGCCTGTTAGGTACAGCAACAGTGAAATTGCAGCCTCTGGAGAGTCAATGTGTTCTTCATGATTCATTTCCCGTGAGTATTGAGTTGAATTTATAGAAAATTGTACTTCGAATTATGAATTACAATCAGGAAATCCTTTGCAATCGTAGTTAATGGATGGAAGGAAACCAACGGGGGCGAAGTTAGAACTGAAAATTCGATTGAGAAATCCAGTTCTGACTAAACAAATAGAACAAATTACAGACAAATGGTTAATTATCGATCATTGATGCAGCATTACGAATTCACCTTATACATATTTCTATTTTTTAATCATTGCATTATCAAGGCCTTGAACATGTATCCGCTTGTTACGAAACAATGAGCAATATATTATTTGTTTAATTCATAGCTACGCCTATTAATGTGAATATGTATATGTATATGTATATGTATAGAACAATTTATATATTTTATTACGAGTGTTTAACTTTAAACAAATACATATGGACATACAATTTTCTCGAGTGAGCATATATGCACAATCTAACGTGTAAATATCATAGTATGTTGCATACGGAATTTCTTGCGCGACTGTGTCATAATAATTACACTGGTGATAAACAGACCATTATGCTGGGCTTTAATACACACGAAAATGTAAGATTGTGTTACCCTCTTTTTACGATTAGCACCGCGATTTATGCTTGTATGTAAGATAAGAGAGATTTGTTCGATCAATGATTTTAAGGAACATTTTTTAATCACTCATCGTTAAATAAAAAAACATTTAAAAATCAAAATCGTGGTAATGACTACATATACCTTTACTTTAATGACTACATGTACCCATATCGAATGTACTGTAACTACTTCGAAGTTATCGGTACCATTCAAATGACGGATACTTTGAACGTTCTTAATCTTAAAAATATATATTTGTGAAGGAGGGGCAAGAAATCTCAAGTGCTGTTGCAAATAATTGATACAAGCATAAGATACTATCAGTTGTATCTATTGAAACGATTTAAACGTGGAGGAGGAACGATCGTGGAGTGAAGCTGAATCCACATTTCCAGAGAACAATACAGCACGTGAACCCCACTAACAAACTATTGTCCGATAATCGTTCGACTCTGTCTCCTTCCAGCTCACCACTCCACTGTTTCATTCCTACTCACGTGTGCCTCACCGCTTAGTCCTTAATAGCTCCGTAATACTTCAGAATAGAGTAGGATGCACCAACATGCACAAAGGCACAGAACTGCAATAAACATAATTACAGTAATAGTTGTATTTATTAAAACTGACCCTCATTATAATCTTCATTGCGAACAAAGTGAAACGAATATTTTCATTAATGAGTCCATATCCACTTTTGGACTGTTGTCTATGTACGATAGACTAATCGATTTCAAGTATAAAAGATATAACAATTGGCTAAATATAGAATGTCTTGGTTTCGATAGGATTTTATTGAAATTTATTTTATACATTCTTTTGCATATAGCTTATATATATATATATATATATATATATATAAGCTATATGCAAAAGAATGTATAAAATAAATTTCAATAAAATCCTATCGAAACCAAGACATTCTATATTTAGCCAATTGTTATATCTTTTATACTTGAAATCGATTAGTCTATCGTACATAGACAACAGTCCAAAAGTGGATATGGACTCATTAATGAAAATATTCGTTTCACTTTGTTCGCAATGAAGATTATAATGAGGGTCAGTTTTAATAAATACAACTATTACTGTAATTATGTTTATTGCAGTTCTGTGCCTTTGTGCATGTTGGTGCATCCTACTCTATTCTGAAGTATTACGGAGCTATTAAGGACTAAGCGGTGAGGCACACGTGAGTAGGAATGAAACAGTGGAGTGGTGAGCTGGAAGGAGACAGAGTCGAACGATTATCGGACAATAGTTTGTTAGTGGGGTTCACGTGCTGTATTGTTCTCTGGAAATGTGGATTCAGCTTCACTCCACGATCGTTCCTCCTCCACGTTTAAATCGTTTCAATAGATACAACTGATAGTATCTTATGCTTGTATCAATTATTTGCAACAGCACTTGAGATTTCTTGCCCCTCCTTCACAAATATATATTTTTAAGATTAAGAACGTTCAAAGTATCCGTCATTTGAATGGTACCGATAACTTCGAAGTAGTTACAGTACATTCGATATGGGTACATGTAGTCATTAAAGTAAAGGTATATGTAGTCATTACCACGATTTTGATTTTTAAATGTTTTTTTATTTAACGATGAGTGATTAAAAAATGTTCCTTAAAATCATTGATCGAACAAATCTCTCTTATCTTACATACAAGCATAAATCGCGGTGCTAATCGTAAAAAGAGGGTAACACAATCTTACATTTTCGTGTGTATTAAAGCCCAGCATAATGGTCTGTTTATCACCAGTGTAATTATTATGACACAGTCGCGCAAGAAATTCCGTATGCAACATACTATGATATTTACACGTTAGATTGTGCATATATGCTCACTCGAGAAAATTGTATGTCCATATGTATTTGTTTAAAGTTAAACACTCGTAATAAAATATATAAATTGTTCTATACATATACATATACATATACATATTCACATTAATAGGCGTAGCTATGAATTAAACAAATAATATATTGCTCATTGTTTCGTAACAAGCGGATACATGTTCAAGGCCTTGATAATGCAATGATTAAAAAATAGAAATATGTATAAGGTGAATTCGTAATGCTGCATCAATGATCGATAATTAACCATTTGTCTGTAATTTGTTCTATTTGTTTAGTCAGAACTGGATTTCTCAATCGAATTTTCAGTTCTAACTTCGCCCCCGTTGGTTTCCTTCCATCCATTAACTACGATTGCAAAGGATTTCCTGATTGTAATTCATAATTCGAAGTACAATTTTCTATAAATTCAACTCAATACTCACGGGAAATGAATCATGAAGAACACATTGACTCTCCAGAGGCTGCAATTTCACTGTTGCTGTACCTAACAGGCTATCACTTCGAAAGAATCCACTGTAAAAACACACAATTATTCGTAATATTAAATAAATACATATATATTATGCTGAAACGAAATGAAGGAAGGTATACGTTGTCACAGCTTGCTCGTGCAATTTACAAACGTGATATCGTTGAGTATCTATCAATCAAGCTACAATACGCATAAAGCATTATAATAAATTCGACAGTTTTCTTATTGCCATGTATAGAGACCAACATTTAACTACTATTTTGATAATACAATAGCTGATAAAAAAGAAAATAAACAAAAACATAAGATCCAATAACCAATGACTCTCAAAGAACAAACATAATAGCACATTTTTAGGCATATAATGAAAAAGCTGAATGCTCTTTAGAACTATGATTTTCATACCTTGGATTAGTGCAACACAGGAGAGGATTCAGCGAGCATCTGCAAGCAACGTACTAATCTATTTACTATCTTTGTTATTAAATTTTCGGATCATATCTATTCAATATTGGCGATACCATATTCATTCATCGATACTTATAATACTTTATAAAATAAAATAAAATATGTGAGTAATGTATAATTAAAATATGTCAATTTCATGAAGAATGTGTTATTAAAAACTAAAGCTCATAAATAAATACACGAAAACACTAATAACATGATAATGTTACGAAAATATCAAATAAAATTATAAAAAACTGTAGATGGTTATACCCATTACTGTTTGTAATTACCCTTTTGTCCAAACTTGACATTTCAGCGCATGTCTTTTAAAAGCTCGTTGACACTGTCGTACGCCACGATCTATTATTCCGTTCAGGCGAAATACTGCTTCATATTCTGGGTTGCACGTTCCTCTAATAGTAGATGTTCTGTCTGTTGGAGGATTATCGGTTGGATAAGGAAATTCATATATGACGTATGTATCCTCTTTTGAATAATTTATCCCTCGTATTATTGAGATTTCTACATCATTGTTGTTTAAATCCGTACAACTCCTGAAACATAACGACTGCAATGATTTTTACACACTATTTTCGTTTTTATTATAAAATCATGTAGTACTGACTGCACTATAGCATAAGTTTTTGTTTCGTAATGATGCTGTGGTGACGGTAATCCATCACGCTTCCGAACCCTCAACATATCCAAATCTCGTTTATAATCTAATGCGAATCGTTCCCACTTATTATACCCAGGTACATCTCCTAATGCTTTGGAATGATCTCTAGTACATAAGCACCACTATAACGAATTATAGAAATAGTTACTTTAGTTTCACTTTAAAATATATACGTTTCTATTATACCTTCATCTGTTTCACTAGCTGTGCCTCTAGATTCTCATAAATTTCTTCATCAGTTCCTGTTGCTTCTTCCAGACAATGTTCGCTACTAACTAACTCAAAACTTTCATCAAGTTGCCCTATTGAACTATCTGCATTGAGTTCCATTTTTGCTAACGGTGACAATGGTATAGTATTCATATCAACTGGTAACCCTGCTGTACTCGCTTCGATCAGTGGATCTATTCCCTTTGCCTGTCTTAAATAATTACGTGCCAATTCTAGATCTCCCTCCTTCTTTGCATTGAAAGCGGCTTGCTTCAACTCATGCTGACGCTGTTGCAATAAAGCTGTTTGTTTATCTGCACGTGTCATCTTTTGATTTGTTTTTTTCCCTAATAATTAAAGGAAGTACATCATTAGTAAACGGATAGTTGAATGATAAATTTTATTACATACCTATTTGATTTCTTGGAGAAACTGAAGGTCTCTTTGATCCCTGTGTATTTTCAGATGGCTCTGGGTCTGAGGTCTTTTGCATAGACGGTGTTGGTTGCACTTCTGATTTCTCCTCTTCTGGTGCAGGTGTCACAAGTGGTGGAAAACCATGTGGAACTGGCAGTTCATCTAGGGGTACAGGTTTTCCGCGAGCATACAACTTAAGAGCATCTTCAAACTGTTTGCATATACGACCGTATCTTCGAGCTTTAGAAGAATTTCCTTCTGTTTCTGCAGCTGTTTTTGATCTTCTATACACTTCAAGTCTCTCCCTTAGAGCGGATTCTAAATTCTCTGGACCTGCTGGCTTTGTTTCTGCCGTTTCCAAAACATTTAATTAATATGTTTAACTTTATAACAATATCAACAAAAGAAATTAGTATATAAAATAGGAGAAATGCTTAAATCATGTATGACTTACCTGCAGGTGCTGTTTCCGAGGAGGCCTCTCCCTGTGTTTCATTTTCAACTTTTGACAATTCTGGTGTAGCTGTAGCAGCATTTAACCCGGGCATATTTGGAGATGGTGGCATGTCCGACAAATCAACTGAGTCTCCTGCATTTACTGCTGCTATGACTATATCAAACTGCTTCGCTACAGTTACACATTGAAGTGCTTCCGTTTTATTACCAGCTTTCTTCCATGCTAATGCTGCTATTTTATATTCTTGTTGCCTACTTTTTAGTAAATTCAAAGCTGTTTCATCTATAGATTTTTCTGGAACAGATTCTATGGCAGTATTAGTTTCTGGGGGTGGTGTTGTATCATCATTAATTGGAGAACTTTTCTCTTCTGAAAAATATGCATATAATACATCTCAATTACGTACATAGAACAAGCTTCGTAAAATATTGTTATTATTGTACTTTTAAATATTACCTGTTGAATCTGGTTTAGAACTTTCTACTACTTTTTCTGTTGATTCTCCAACTGCAGATGGTGGTAATTGTGGTGGAATATCATCTTCATTGATAGATTTACCTGATTTAGCATCAGTCAATAATTCTTTGAGTGTTTTAATACCTCTCGTATATCTTCTTACTCGACTTGACTCATTCTCTTGTTTTGCTTTTCTTTCAGCAATTTGGTACAACCTCAACCTTTCTTCCAAAAGTTTTATTGTAACTTCCATATCTGTACAATCTGTTCTTGTTTCAGATTGCACTGCACTTTCTGTTTCAGGGCTATCTTCCTCTATTGGTGACGTTTCCTCAGCAGATTCATCGCCTGCGATCATCTTAAGTTCATTCTAATGCAATATAAAATTTCTAAAATTATTTTAAATATAACTACATATACAATTATTATAAGAATGAAGAATGTACATATAATGTAATTTATACCAATAATTCTGGATCGTCATCTCCATCTGACAATTCACCATCCTTATCCGATGCTTCTTCATCGGGATCTTTCAAACTTTGAGCTATCATTGCATCCAGATCTGCACTTGGAATTGGTTTCCTGGGTGCTAAAAGATTTGTTGAAAATCGTATGAACAACATACATTGCAATTCGGCATACATACAAACAATATGCAACCTTTACGTCTGGGTTTTTGATTATCATCGCTAATTGTCAATGCTGCTAGCTCTGCTTCGAAATCATCATCATTATCATCATCCCCCATAAGATTGTTGCCTAAACCGTCAAAAGTTTCCGGCACTTCAAAGATTCCATACTTTTAAAGAAATAATATATTTAGTAAAAATCAGATTAATAAAAAAGTAAGGTTACAAACGTCTTTATGGTCATACCTGTGCAAGACTACTAGCAGGTCTTCCCTGGCGTTTTGGCTTTTCTTTCTTACCAAACATATTGTTTCATGAAACTTACACTATCAAAAATCAATTGACAATTAGTAAAATATTAAAGATGTTAGTAGAAATATAATACATTAGACGTTTAGAGTGTAGAGTGAATCGGTATTCTATCTGATCTGTCGATATGCGTCATCCATTCGAGAGTGATATAAAAACGCAAAATTCAATTGAAACGCAAAAAATTTTAGCAATTAAACTATATTACTTACAAACATATGAATTATACAGTTTTTAAATAAAAGTGTAATCACTTATTCTACTATTAAGAACAAATAGACATTTCCAAATATTATACAGTCCCTCACTATAGTAAGCCAAGGCGGGGGCAACCGGCTTAGAATTATGAAACAGGT